ATACCTTCAGCAACTTCGCCGAACACGACGTGCTTCCCATCAAGCCTTAATTCACCACACTCATTCCAAACAAACAATAAATTTTATTCACTTCAAAGAAAAACATTTACCATTATACTCCTTAAATTTCATGCTGATCAAGCATGATCTGACCGTTGTCATTGGTTATTCAAAATTTCCGATTCATAACCTACTCATGAGTTCACACTTCAAACAGTGACACTTTCACTCGATTGGTTCAATGCTATCACAACACTGTAGTGAATCACCGTCAGATATTTTCATAAAGCAACAATGAACAATTACCATGGGGTTACGGCGGTAAGGATAAAGAATTGTGATCCGTTTGTGTTCGGTCCGGCGTTTGCCATCGACAAAAGTCCAGTTCCGTCATGTCTCTTCTGCACAAAATTTTAATTTCACTACACATTTACACGAAATCAGAGAATATTTCTCAAACATTTGCCCAAACGATACACCACTGTCTTAATCAAACCAACAAAGCATTCACCTGGAAGTTCTCATCAGCGAATTTCTCACCGTAAATCGACTCACCACCAGTTCCGTTGCCACGAGTGAAATCTCCACCCTGCAATCAACAGTTCTATCAGTATCAAAATGACCGAGAGTATACTCGTTCCCTCGAACAGATCGAACTTTTCCGATTGTTCGATTTCGTACCATTGATCTGACATTATTGGCAACCTTTATGAATCGCCAGAAGAAACAAAACGTCTGACCCCAGTTAAAGAACACCTGTAGATCAACGGAAAACAAGGATATGATAAGCTCCTGATGAGAACTGAACCTGAATCATAAAATTGGGGATGATACGATGGAATTTGGAACCCTTGAAGGACAACGGTTTACCGCTCTTGCCCATTCCTTTTTCACCAGTGCAAAGACAGCGGAAGTTTTCGGCAGTCTTCGGCACGATATCCGAGTACAGCTTCATCACAATGCGACCGGCACTTCTGTCACCAATCGCGATGTCGAAGAAGACCTTTGGAGGAGTCATGCTTTCTTGACCTACGATCCGGTAAATAATCACCAAAAACTCAACAATAACCTCCACTTGACTGTATTCAACGCAAACCGTCAATCAATTCAACTGTACAAAATCATTCGCGCATTTCAGTGCTAAAAGCCCTCAACAACGGATATCTCATGTCCACATCGACATTTTTACTACATAAATCAATCGAAAAAATCTTGAAATATGAAACAACGAACAACACGACCATTCCACTGATCATTAACCATCCAACTTCACATTAAACGATACCATTTTCTCTTACACAACAAAGAAATAAACAATTTTGAGCACGATAAATGCGCTTATTCCGCTTTTTGTGCAGTACCGTCTTCGTTATCTCACCCCCTCAAAAAAAGCGAACGAATAGCCTAGTTTCTAGCTATGTTTGTTTGCTCCCCAGCAGCACCATGCATTCAAGTATTCGATTTATACTCAACAATTTTTGCCCAGCTGCTATTCATCCGAGAAACTACCAGCACATTCATCCAAATGCTTCCGCACACATACACACACAGACAA